CGTTGTGGAGCACAGGCTCCGGACGCGCAGGCTCAGCGGCCATGGCTCACGGGCCCAGCTGCTCCGCGGCACGTGGGATCCTCCCGGACCGGGGCACGAACCCGTGTCCCCTGCATCGGCAGGCGGACTCCCAACCACTGCGCCACCAGCGAAGCCCCCTATACTCTTTTTTTTAAATGTTCAATACTAATCAGTTTTGTGAAATTCTTACTTATTGCCTTGCCTTCTGCCTCTGAAACTAGTTTAATTCCAAGCCTCGCCTTCGCCAGTGATTGCTGTATTTGCTAACCCTCTTCATCTGTCCGTGGGTGCTTGACCACAGTATGCATATTTCCTCATCCCTTCCTTTCTGTCTAAAAGTAGCTTGTAATATGTTCCAGTACCAAAGGAGGACAGTAGGACAGTCTGGACAAATTAAGCCTTTCTGTCCTAATTGTGAGCTGGCACCCTTTAAAACTCAGTTCCTTAATTTTTCAGAGGCACTTGGCCTCTTTTCTTCCTTTTGTTTAGGGCCCTGTTTCTGGCTCTGCATTAGCAACCATTTAAAAAAATTCTTGATTATATTGAATCAACAACTTAAAGCCTTGGCCCCTGCTGCTTGTTGCACATCCTGTGGCAGTCCTCAGGAAATCCTAGTTTGGGGCATTAAAACTAATTAAAGGATTAAACTACTACTAGGGAGAGGGTGATAAACAAGTGCTTGTGACAGGAATTCACTGTGCAGTGCTTGGTGTTAAAGAGCTGCTCTAGCTGTTGAGGAGAGAAATAGCAGTAGTAATAATGGGAGAGTAGATTCAAATACTTGTATGCATTCTTGTAGGGAGATAAAGAACCAAAGGGCTGCTTTAGAACAGTATCCCTAGGGTAGGGAGGGGCAGGCTGTCTCCTTTGATGTTCATTAACTTAACAATTGCCCAAGCTGAGCACTTTGATATTTGTTGACAGTCTAGCAAAACAGGGGCTGCGTCTAGAAGATGGTAAACCTAGTTCCCACTCATTTTGCTTCAGTGTTCCAAAGTTACTGAACTCTTGCTTCCTGAAAATCCCTTATAAATATCCCTTTTACAAGACTGTTCACTGGAGCAGAAAGGTACATTTATTTTCCTGTTACCTAGAACTCTTAAGAGCCTAACGGGAAGATTTTCTAGTGCCACTTAATTGGGACTTAAGTGTTATTAAAGTCAGTCTGCCCTGCCTTTTAGCTAATATTTCTTTTACTTTTGTTTTAGGTAACATTTTAATTTTAACTTTATTTATTTAATAAATTTATTTATTTTTACTTTTGGCTGCATTGGTTCTTCGTTACTGTGCACGGGCTTTCTCTAGTTGCGGCTAGCGGGGGCTACTCTGTTGCAGTGGGCGGGCTTCTCATTGTGGTGGCTTCTCTTGTTGCGCAGCATGGGCTCTAGGTGTGCGGGCTTCAGTAGTTGTGTCACGTGGGCTCAGTAGTTGTGGCTTGCAGGCTCTAGAGTGCAGGCTCAGTAGTTGTGGTATTTATTTATTTATTTATTTATTTATTCATTCATTCATTCATTCATTCATTCATTTATTTGCGGTACGCGGGCCTCTCACTGTCGGGGCCTCTCCCGTTGCGGAGCACAGGCTCCGGACGCACAGGCTCAGCGGCCATGGCTCACGGGCCCAGCCGCTCCGCGGCATGTGGGATTCTCCCGGACTGGGGCACAAACCCGTGTCCCCTGCATCGGCAGGCGGACTCTCAACCACTGCGCCACCAGGGAAGCCCAGAACTATTTTTAAAAATAAAAAAAGGATTGAGGGAGAAGAATAAAGAAATCTAAACCATTGAAAGCCCCCGTTTGTTTCTGATAAACTTCAATCACATCTTCTTCCTCCATTTCCAGTTCTTTTGGAGTGTGAGTATCAGCAATTCTCTGACCTTCAAAGAGAAACCTGAGTGAATTCATGGGAACTCCCTGTCTTTGACAGTATGATTCTTTGAGGTTCTTGTGATGCATCATCATTTTCACCTTGCAGTGAATCTCACTGCTATCCTGTCTGATGACTTTGAGTTTAGTGTTCTCTCCTTCCTTTTTATCCCCCAAGTCCTCAGTTGAAGGTTTTGCCTCCGGGTCAGACATGGTGACAGTGGCTTCCCCCAGGGTCTCCACCCAGCAGTGGCCTCGGGTAGGCAGAAGCTTGCTCTAGGATTTACAAATCCATCTCTTCCCCACAACACAACACTGTGGCTGGAGGGACTTCTTCTATGCCTCCTACTTGTTCAGTTTTTAATTATTTAGGAAGCCTGCCTGCTCTTGTGGGGATGTATAGAGAGCATGGCTACAAGATTTTTTATTCTAAGATATTTGCTGCTATATGTGATTTTGAGTAATGTCTCCCATTCAGTTTTTCCTGAACAACACCCCGTCAGTGACAGGGTGCTCTGTGCCCGGGTCCTAGAGAGCTGTTTGTTTTTGCAGTTGATAAAGGATAAAAGAAGTACTTGGTCATTTTTATATTTGAGGCAGGGAGTGGTTCTTATCTCTTCTTTATAACCAGAACCATTTCAGTGAGGTACAGTAATTCCATGGGTTAGTGTTCTTCCCGATTCTAGGCTTATACTGCAGATGATAGTACCGGGGGTTGTGGCCATTTGCAGAGAGAAGTAGAAAAGAAAGGAGAAGATAAGTGGCTCTGACAGCAGTTAGAGATTGTTCTGAACTTCTAAGTAAAAGTATGGCCATTATTCAAGAAAATGTTCTGTTAAGTATCATCTAAGCCCCATTGGACCTGGAATAACTTGGTCAAATGAATAGATTGCTGTCTCTTGGAGAGGGTTCCACGCTTTCTAAGGCATCAGTGCTAAAATCATCATCATAAAGCATTTGCTGGGCTTTCCTTGTGCAGTATTTTTACAGGGAGGTAGAGGGAAAG